GAGGGTCTTTAATTGGTAGCAGGTGGGACTAGCTTTCTATCAGTCTGTACAGTAGATTGAGAACAATCTACTGTACAGAAACCAGTGCAACCAAGCCCCTCAAGAAGCTATCAAGGAACTAAAAAACAATCCAGTGTACAGGTCTGGGACCCTGTCTTCACCAGCTACAGGTTGTGTAAATGCCACATGCCATGGTGCCTTGGGGAGAAGGGCAGTAAATCAAAGACTCTGCCCTGGAGGATGTTTTCTTTTTATTGACACATTTTGTTTTGTATTGTTTTCTTTTCTCTTGATAATCAATAGGATGTTGTATTATAAGCAGAATTAAAGTTATTCAAAACAAGAAAACCCTACATTTCTCTTTATAAATATTAGTATGTTAAACATTAATGTGTTAGTGTATTAACAGCTCTATTGAGGTGTAACTAACATATAATAAACTGCATCAATTTAAATTGATAAGTTTTAACATAGATCTACACCTGAAAAACCGTGCCCCTCATGCTCCTTTGGAATCCCTCCCTTCTTTCACTCCTCTTCACTGTCCATGCTCAGGCAGCCATTTATCTGCCTTCTGTCACTGAATGTTAGTTTCCATTTTCTAGAGCCTTAAATAAGTAGAATCATACAATACATATTCTTTTTTTTCTGGCTTCTGACATTCAGTATGATTATTTTGAATTTCATCCATGTTATTGCTTGTATCAGTAGTTCATTTCTTTTTATTGCTGAGTTGGATTTCATTGTACGGTTATGCCATAATTTGTTTATCCATTCATCTATTTCTAAAAATTTGGGTTGTTTTCAGTTTTTGCCTATTAAAAATAAAGCTGTATATGAGAATCTACATTGTAGCACATCTTCACTAACACTTGTGGTGGTGGTAAAATCTTTTTCATTTTAGCCATCCTCATCAGTATGCAGCAGTATCTCTTTGTGTTTTTCTTTGTATTTCCATAATTACTAATTATTTTGACCATACTTTTATGCTCTTTCTTTGTCTCTTACTTGGTCAGGTGTGTTTTCTAATCTTTTGCCATTTTTTATTGGGCTTACTGTTTTCCAATTATTGAGTTTTAAGAGTTCTGTATATATTTGCATACAAGTCCTTTATTATGTGATTTTTAAATATTTTCTTCTTGTCTATAGCTTTTCACTCAATTAAAAATATCTTTTGAAAACCATAAGTAGCCAAAAAATGTTTGTGTGGCTACCTAAGAAGGTTTCTAAGAAGTATCTATGAAATATCTAGGAAATCTCTGCCTAACCCAAGGTCACAAAGAGTTTTATCCTGTGTTTTCTTTGAAAATTTTTATAGTAGGGAGAGGAGTGACCTCTGAAAAGTCAAGGTGATGAAAATAAAAAGCATTTCTTTGTAGCCAGTCTGTTACTGCCATGAAATATATTTCAAGGCTTTAGCCTCCCACCTGGGGCTCTTTGGGATGAAAACAAATTTAAGCATTTGTCCAAGAAAACAAAATTGATATGATAAATAATTTTAAAGTTTCATCCAAAGATAAGCATATGTTAATTCAGTTATTTGAACTATCTTGGCCTTCAACTTCTTCTGTACCAGTGGATAACTGAAAGTTGAATATACATATTTCAGTAATGTAACTATAAGATAATGTTTTGTTTTAGTTAAAATTTGGGGAACAAAAAATTTGTACTGTATTTAATTCATTCATCCAACATATTTATGGATACCTACTATGCCAAGCACTGGACTAGGAGCTTTTATCCATTTTCATCTATACATTTTCTTATTTAATCTTTCTAATATTAAACTGTATGCTTTTAGAAAAAGAAACTTTAAAGGTTAAAAGTTGTCAAATTCTGTTAGTGAGAGAGAGATGCCTCTGAGAATCTGTAATCTAATTTGAATAGTCAAGTACCTTGACAACAATACCCTAAGATAAATGCCATTATAGACATTGGTTAGCCTACGTGGCTCCCAGAGGGAACTTCTGAGAAGGCTTTTAAAGAATGAATATAATTTTAACAGGTAAATACTGGGCTGTGATAAGGGGAGGAGGTAGAATAGAAACTCAAAATAGAGGGGAAATTTTTCACAGAGGCACATTGGCTGAAGAATGCCGGGTGTGGTCACGGAACAGCAAGTTGCTGTGATTTTTGGTTAGGAGATAGGATGGTAGGAGACATCAGCATGTGACAGGCTTGGAAGCAAGAAGAGATATACTGTAATAGGCAACAGAGAGTCAAAACAGGATTTTGACCAGGAGGAAAGCTAAATCAGAAGTGGGTTTTAAGAAATATTTTTGCCATTCTTATCTACGGCAGTCTGGGTAGAAGGAGGAGAAGGATTGGTGGCAGGGAGGCTGGGAAAGCTGGCGAGACCTGGACAGGACTGGGAACTGACCAGGGGAAAGGGGGAATTTCACTTTCCATCCAAAATATTCTCTCCTAAGCTCTCTGGGTACTCTTTCCGAAAAATAACGTAGATTCAGCTAACTGCTTGATTTGAAAAGGTTTTTGTTTTTGTTTTTTTTGGTTGGTTGGTTAACTTGTTTGTTATCTGGCAACTTAAAAGGGCCTCTTTTTGTGCAGCAGAAAGATAAAACCCATGATGCTCCAGGAAACTCAACTGAGTAATGACGTAAAGAATGGATTTGAGGGAGGCTAATTAGTCCTCACCCAGGTACTAGGCAATAAGGAATGGACACAGAACACTAGTGATCACTAGGAGATCTGGAAAGAATGAGATCAGTCGAATTTGATTGGATGGGATGCTTAATCATGACCCCCCAATTTTAAAATCAAGTGTCTAGAAACTGCTGGTTTTCTTGTAGGAAATAATGATTTAGGAAGGAGCTAGTACGCTTATTTTAAATAGGGTTGAATCGGAAGACTTTACAATTCAAAAGATAGTCCACACAATAGGACTTTCATGAGGAAATATCTAAAAGCTGTTCAAAGGCCAGAGATTGTATTCATAAAAGAGGAAAGGGCTGAAAATAATATTTAAACGTTGTCCACATGGAGATACAGTCATGTGTGGTTGTCTGTGCTGAGGGATAACATGGTGGCAAATGGATGGTGACCAAGGGCAGACTTTTGAGGAAGTACAGCAGGAGAAGAAGACCCATCCAGAGAGCCAGAAAGGACATAAGGCAACAGATGGGGGATACATAGCGTTGCAGGAGTAAATGGAAGACAGGCGGAATTGGTGAAATGCAGCAGACCTGCCAATGAGGATGTGGATGTAGGCACTGTGTTTGATGATAAGGGATCAATTCCTGTAGGCAGGCTTTCCTCCTTCTCCCTCCTCCCCCAGTCCAGGCCATCAGGGACTTTACTTTCTCTCTTGCTGCTTCATCTGAGCAGAGATAGCATTGATAATGGGTTAGCCACCAGTTTACCCTTTGGATCAAATATTCTCTAAAAGCAAGGACTGTGGTGCATCATCCCGCTAGGTGATACAGATGGGGATTCCGGGAAAAATGAACATGCCCCCTGACGGACCACAGTGTCCGGAGAGTCAAACTGTGAGGTACTATGGAACAGGAAGACCGTAAGAAATGAAAGAAGCACCTGAATATAGGAGAAGGCAGGCAGGGAGTTATGAGAAGATTCCATTAAGAGAGAAACAGAAAGAAAAAAATATTTAATTACATGGTAAGAGATTTGTCAATGTCTCTAAACTGCAGTGAAAGCCAATGCAAAGGAGGGGATGACAAAGCAAGAGGCGACGGTTAACTACTGATGGAATGAGTCTGAGAAGGGACCAGTAAATGCAAGGGTGGGGTTGACCTCTGACAGAGGGTGGGGTGTGAGAGAAGGTGCAGAGAAATGTAGACGTGAGAGGTAGGAATAGTGAACGGAATGGCCTCTGAAAGAAGGAAGTCAGGGCCTAATGGGAAACAAAGAAAAAACTCCACCAACTTTCAAGTTCTGATACTGCCATTTTATCAGTTGTGTGACCTGTGGCAAGTGACTTAACATTTTTTTTAAAGCTTCAACTTCCCTTTTGGTAAAAATGGTGCTGCTACCTTCGAACACCAAAACCAGGTGTCATTTCCCCACTTATTTGCAAGTGCCCTTTTGGCTGTTTTTGTTTTAACGTTTCCCTTTCCGGACGGAGCAGCTGGAAGATGGGCTGGATCTTACTAGCAAAGCAGGAAGGTGGATCATCGGAGTACGGGAACAGTGATGCCATGAGCCTGAGAGATCACGAAGAGGTTTTAGCAGTGCTGAGCATAGGCTAGGGAAATTAACACAACGTGAATACAGATTTGCAGGCCCCAGTGAGGAACCAAGGGAGATTAGAGGGCAGGGAGGCCTGATCGAAGAGGAATCAGGCCCCTAGCTGAAAAAGTGTTGGGGAGGTGTGCTACAAATTTCATTTTAATTTTATTTATTTTTGAGACAGGATCTCGCTCTGTCATCCAGGCTGGAGTGTAGTCCTGCAATCTCGGCTCATTGCAGCCTCGACCTCCTAGGCTCAAGCGATCTTCCCATCTCAGCCGCCGGGACCACGCCCAACTGATTTTTGTACTTTTAGTAGAGACGCGGTTTTGCTACGATGCCCAGGCTGGTCTCGAACTCCTTGGCTCAAGCGATCCTCCAGCCTCCACCTGCCGCAATGCTGGGATTACAGGCATTAGCCACCGCGCCCGGCATAAGCTTCGCGGCTGAACCTGGCTCACAGGTGTGAGCGTTGAGCGGAGCCCACCCTGGAATCCACGCATCTCGGGATGCTTTGGGATGGGCTTCAGCGGGTTCAAAAGACCCGGAAATCGCCCAGAGGCGTCAATTTCCACAAGGCTTGCAAGGAGCTCTCCCCACAAAGATTAGGAACTTGTAACCAAGGCTTGGTAAACCCACCGGGAACGCGAGCCGCCTCCCAACCTTGCGCCCTGCTGTGCTCTAGCAGTGCTGCAGAAAGTTCAGGAACTTCGCTTTCATCTCTTGCCCAAAGCAAGTCCTCCGGCTTTTTCTTTTTGTAAATTGCTGAGTGTGGCGAGGCCCCGCCCTTCCGCGCCCGGCCGCGGGGCCGCCCCTGTCTCCTCCCCGGCGGGTGCTCCTTCCCGGACGGCGCTGGAAGCCCTGGCGGCGGCGGCCCATGGGGCCCTTGGCGCTGCCCGCCTGGCTGCAGCCCAGGTAGGGCGCTCGGCCGAATCCCGAAGGGAGTGGGCGCGGGTGGAGGGCCTGGGGGCGGGGGCTCCCCTCTCCTGCGGGCGGGGGGCGTTACCGACCCGCGCTGCGCTGCGCTACAGTGCCCAGGCACCCGTTGGATCTCGTGCAGGTATTTGCTAATTTACGTTTCTTGACCACCCTAGGAAGCAGGCTCTGTTGCTTTCTCCATTTCACAGATGAAGAAATGGGAAGTACAGGCCGCGTGGCTACCCCTGCCCTTGTGAGCCCTCTGCCAGTCCCTCCATCCCCCACCCGGAGCCCTTCTCTTGACTTTCTTAGAAGCAGAGTTGCGGGGTGACTTTTAGATCTAGCAGCCCTGGAAACACCTATCACATGTATAGATCCCAGGGCCCAGTTCCGGGGGGATCAGATTCATTCGTATAGCGTTAGGGCCTGGGAGTGTATGTTTAACCCCCAAGCCAGGTGATTCTGATACAGGCTGAAGGAGGGTTTCCTCTTCCCAGACCCTTTAGCAGTTCCTGTCTTATGGGGTTGGGCGGGGGGAGTGTCCCCAAATAAACTTATTCTACTTCACAGCTTACTTTTCTTGTTTCTCGGAGGTTTCACATCTCCAAGGAGGAGTAAATCTCGAACGTACTGGCAGGGGCCCTCCCGTCCCAGAGAATACTTCAAACAGTGCTCTTCCTAACTCCCTCAAACCATGTCAGTCTACTCTTAGTCATCTCCCAGCAGCACACATTTTTAAACCCAGCTTGACTTCCTTTTTCTGGTGTGAGTAACTAAACCGCTTTCTATGTGTATCTGATGAAGGAAACTATCTGCCTTTGCAAAGTATTAATAGAAGGCAGTGGCAAGATGTTAATACTAACCCCAGTCACTGATTAGTTCAAAACTCAGGTGTGTCCAGTTACTAAATTACCCAGCATTTGGGAATGCTCCCATCCCTACCTACCCCACTTCAGAACTACAACACTATGTCTCAGGTGCTGCACTTAGCAAGCCGAGCTACTGGGACACATAGTGACACATCAACCCCTCTGCACACATGGGTTTTGTTGCTGGTTTTTTTTTTTTTTTTTTTTTTTTTTTTTTTTTTTTTTTTTTTTTTTTTTTTTTTTTGAGACGGAGTTTCGCTCTTGTTACCCAGGCTGGAGTGCAATGGCACGATCTCGGCTCACTGCAACCTCCGCCTCCTGGCTTCAGGCAATTCTCCTGCCTCAGCCTCCTGAGTAGCTGGGATTACAGGCACGCACCACCATGCCCAGCTAATTTTTTGTATTTTTAGTAGAGACGGGGTTTCACCATGTTGTCCAGGATGGTCTCGATCTCTCAACCTCGTGATCCACCCGCCTCGGCCTCCCAAAGTGCTGGGATTACAGGCTTGAGCCACCGCGCCCGGCTTGTTGCTGTTATTTATTTTTATTTATTTATTTTTGACAGAGTCTTACTCTGTTGCCCAGGCTGGAGTTCAGTGGCGTTATCCTCCGCTCACTGCAGCCTCTGCCTCCCAGGTTCAAGTGATTGTCCTGCCTCAGCCTCCGTAGTAGCTGGGTCACTGGGATTACAGGCATGCACTGCCACATCAGGATCTGGCTTTCGGTTTTTGTTTTGTTTTGTTTGTTTTTTTGGTAGATACAGGTTTTGCCATGTTGGCCAGGCTGGTCTTGAACTTCTGGCCTCAAGTGATCCAGTCTTCCTTAGCCTCCCAGAGTGCTGGGATTACATGCTTGAGCCACCGAATCCAGCATTTTTTTTTTTTTTTTTTTTTTGAGACGGAGTTTTCGCTCTTGTTACCCAGGCTGGAGTGCAATGGCGCGATCTTGGCTCACCGCAACCTCCGCCTCCTGGGTTCAGGCAATTCTCCTGCCTCAGCCTCCTGAGTAGCTGGGATTACAGGCACACGCCACCATGCCCAGCTAATTTTTTGTATTTTTAGTAGAGACGGGGTTTCACCATGTTGACCAGGATGGTCTCGATCCCTTGACCTCGTGATCCACCTGCCTCGGCCTCCCAAAGTGCTGGGATTACAGGCTTGAGCCACCGCGCCCGGCGCATTTTTTTTTTTTAAAGAATATTCAAAGCCACCTTTGCAGTGGTTTCTTTTATTCCTTGGTGAGCAGTAAGTTTAGAACTTTATCAAAGATGAAAGCAGAATTTGAAAAAGCACTGTATTGGATTTTAAGCAAACTCACTGTATAGATGGTTCATGATTCACGATGGTTCAACTTAAAATTTTTTAAACTTTGTAATGGTGTGCAAATAATATACATTCATTAGAAACTGTACTTCAGATTTTAAATTTTCACCTTTCCCCAGGCTAGTGATGAGCAGGTATGAGATCCTTTCATGATGCTGGGGCTGCAGCTCCCAGGTGGCCACATGATCAGGAAGGTAAACAAGCAGCACTCTGCACTGTGTTGCCAAATGAGTCTGCCCAGCTGTAAGCTAATGTGGGTGTTCTGAGCAACTTAAAGCTAAACTAGGCTAAGCTGTGATGTTCTGTAGATCAGGTGTATTAAATGCATTTTCAACCTATGACGTTTTCATTTTATGCTATTTTTAGTTGATGGGTTTACCAGGACGTAACTTCATCATAACTGAGGAGGTTTCTGCACTTACTTTAGCAGGTAGTATAGGTTATGGCTCCCTTCAAAAAATCTGATGTGTACTTGGGGGTACCCAGATTAGAGACTGATACAGAACAGTTTCCTTTTGCTTGCTCAGGTTGACCAGTACACTGAAGAACATGTGAATAGTGCTGAAAGGATGATGATAAAATAAGTGTTTAATGGTATTTTCCTGTATTTATAGGTCTAGGAAGAATGCCTATCTTTTCATCTATTACTTAATCCAGTTCTGTGGCCACTCTTGGATATTTACAAATATGACAGTCAGATTCTTTTCATTTGGAAAAGGTAAAACTCCAAAACAGTTTTTGATTTTTAACTTTTAATCCTTGTTTTCACCTCATCTTGCTTACATTTCTACACACCTCACCTAATACCCTTCTCTAAAATTTATATTTTTCAGCAACCATATTTATTGCAAAACCTTTTTGGAGAAGGGAGAAGGTGAGATAAGTAAAGGACAGGGATTTGGTTTCCCCCTGAGTAGGCAGTTTTCCTGAAAACAGAGACGGATGGCATTGGAGTGATACCATTTCATTGTTCCTTTTCCACTCTGCACCAAACCTCAGCAGATTTCTTGTGTTTTGAGGAAATCTCAGCATAACGTTTTATGTAGAGAAATCAGGAATGAATCAAATTTTTCCAGTGTTTATATTGTTCCCCGGGTTTGAGGTAACTGGAGACGACTAGGAAGTGAAATACAAATTTTACATTTCCCACACCTCTGTTAGGTCCCTTTAAGAAGTAATATGTAAATGCCGCACTAAGTAGATAGCCAACCACTTATATGGGAGTTGACATTAATGGTTTAAGTCATAAACTTCCTCTAGTTTCCTAAAAAGTGAAGTCACTGTTGGTTGACTACATGACTGTCAAAATAACATTCTCTTCATGTTCCATCCGCACATGAGTAAGTGTCATCACAGTTTACAACTGTTGAGTGACTTGACAATCTGAGCAACTGCTGGCTTCAGCTAAAAACAAATGTGTAGAATGTATCTGGGAAAAGTCATGCTGTGCTCATCATTTCAGACGTGCGTATCATAAGGAAGTTACTTGACTTGCAAGGTCCCATAAGCTATTTTATGTTGCTGCTGCTTACAGAAAATCTACAGATAAATTCTCGCCTTTGTTAAGAACCTCCAAAGATACAACCTGAGGCTTGAGTTTCAGCTACAAATGTTGAGAGTTTTCAAGCAGAGGAAAACACAGGTGATGGGAAAACTTCTTTTATATATATATATTTAAAAACCATCACTTCTAGTCCTTTGAGGTTTGCTGAGGCAGTGCAGGCATATTACATGTCATTTGCAACACAAGCCATGAACTCTCTATGCTGCCTTACCTTTCCAGTGAGACAAGTTGCCTTAGTGGTATATCTGCTGTCTCTCTCCCTCTGTGTCTCTCTCCCTCTGTGTCTCTCTCCCTCTGTGTCTCTCTCCCTCTGTGTCTCTCTCCCTCTGTGTCTCTCTCCCTCTGTGTCTCCCTCCCTCTGTGTCTCCCTCCCTCTGTGTCTCCCTCCGTCTCTGTGCCTCCCTCCGTCTCTGTGCCTCCCTCCGTCTCTGTGCCTCCCTCCGTCTCTGTGCCTCCCTCCGTCTCTGTGCCTCCCTCCGTCTCTGTGCCTCCCTCCGTCTCTGTCTCTCCCTCCGTCTCTGTCTCTCCCTCCGTCTCTGTCTCTCCCTCCGTCTCTGTCTCTCCCTCCGTCTCTGTCTCTCCCTCCGTCTCTGTCTCTCCCTCCGTCTCTGTCTCCCTGTCTGTCTCTGTCTCCCTGTCTGTCTCTGTCTCCGTCTGTCTCTCTCCCTGTCTCTCTGTGTCTCTGTGTGTGTCTTTGTGTGTCTCTGTGTCTCTCTGTCTCTCTCTGTGTCTCTGTGTGTCTCTGTCTCTCTGTGTGTCTCTCTGTCTCTGTCTGTGTCTCTCTGTATCTCTCTGTGTCTCTCTGTGTCTCTCTGTGTCTGTGTCTGTGTCTCTGTGTCTCTGTGTCTCTCTGTGTCTCTTTGTGTCTCTGTCTCTGTGTCTCTTTGTGTCTCTGTCTCTGTGTCTCTGTCTCTGTGTCTCTGTGTCTCTGTCTCTGTGTCTCTCTGTGTGTGTCTCCCTGTCTTCTCCCTGTCTGTCTCTCTCCCTGTCTGTCTCTCTCCCTGTCTGTCTCTCTCCCTGTCTGTCTCTCTCCCTGTCTGTCTCTCTCCCTGTCTGTCTCTCTCCGTGTCTGTCTCTCTCCGTGTCTGTCTCTCTCCGTGTCTGTCTCTCTCCGTGTCTGTCTCTCTCCGTGTCTGTCTCTCTCCGTGTCTCTCTGTGTCTCTCTGTGTGTGTCTGTGTGTGTCTCTGTGTCTCTGTGTCTCTGTGTGTGTCTCTGTGTGTCTCTGTCTCTCTGTTTCTGTGTCTGTGTGTCTGTGTCTCTCTGTGTGTCTGTGTGTCTCTCTGTGTGTGTCTCCCTGTGTGTCTCTGTCTCTCTCTGTCTCTCTCTGTCTCTGTCTCTCTCCGTCTCTCTGTCTCTGTCTGTCTCTGTCTCTGTCTCTGTCTCTGTCTTTCTCTGTCTCTCTGTCTCTGTCTCTTTTTTCTTTTTCTATCCCCCCACCTCCCCCTCCCCCAAGTTTTCCTCTCCCTCTCAGGTTTCCCTCTTGTCTCTCAGACTGGAGTGCATTGGTGTGATCTTGGTTCACTGCAGCCTCTATCTCATGGGTTCAAGAGATTTTCCTGCCTAAGCTTCCCGAGTAGCTGGGATTACAGGCACCTGCCACTATGCCCAGCTAATTTTTGTATTTTCAGTAGAGAGGGGGTTTCACTGCATTGGCTAGGCTGGTATTGAACTCCTCACCTCAGGTGATCCACCAGCCTCGACCTCCCAAAGAGCTGGGTTCACAGGCATGAGCCACCTTGCCCAGCCCGGCACATTTCTTTCTTATTATCCTGCTGTTACAGTTGTAGAAGCTATTTATTAAATAAACACAACAGATTCGTTCAGGAGACAAACTGAAGACAAGTGTGGCTTCAGTACAATTCCTGAATCAGTGTATAAATTATGTAAGTAGCTCAACAGAAACCTGAAACCCTGAATGTGTTATACCTGCACTTCTTCCTTCGCAGAACTGTAATTCATAATACTCTGGCAGCAAGTTCAGGGCAGTAGATAGGAGCATGGACTGTGTGCTTCAGGAACCATCTCTGAAATGGAGATGATAATAGCGTCCATGCCGTGGAGCTGCTGAGAAGACAAATCCTTAGTGCTCAATAAGTTACTGTGTGAATTATCACTGGGCAGTAAAGAGAGAAAAATCTTCTCTAAGAGTTTCTAAACATGGCAGGATTCCATTTTAAAACTTGAAGCCACAAATTTATGCTATGTAGACGACATTTGTTTTCCTCCCATTTCAGCTCCCTCTGAGTGCACAGTGTTTCATTTGAACCCTCTGTAATGCAAACTCCAAGAGTCTTGCTCGGAGGCCCAAGTTCCAGTGTTTAACAAAACCCAGAAAAGCACTAACCAAATATGTAGAGAAACAAAATTCCAGATACATATGTTCTTTGATATCATGATATTAACAGCATCACTTCCATAAACCACCTCTGAAATCGTATTTTTTTCTCATCTTTATCATCTTGTCAGTGGAGAAGCTGTGAGCACAGCAGTCTTTAACAAGCTCATTTCTATTTACGCTTGGGGTGGTCTAGATTCCAGGAGGTTACGCTTTTGTGGGTTTGCTTTATAATCTTCAAAGTGGGTAGTAACTACTGCATGCAGATTTAGCCCTGAAATCTTTCTCAAGGTTTTTAATTCTTTTTGGAACAGGAGCAATTAAAGTATACTACATGATGAAAAGCTTTTTAAAATTTGCATTGTATTAATAATTTAGTAGCCTACTTAAGGAATTTTTCACATGTACAATGAAAAAGGAAGTGAATAATCTCTATTGGATTTCGGCCGGGCGCGGTGGCTCAAGCCTGTAATCCCAGCACTTTGGGAGGCCGAGGCGGGTGGATCACGAGGTCGAGAGATCGAGACCATCCTGGTCAACATGGTGAAACCCCGTCTCTACTAAAAATACAAAAAATTAGCTGGGCATGGTGGCACATGCCTGTAATCCCAGCTACTCAGGAGGCTGAGGCAGGAGAATTGCTTGAACCCAGGAGGCGGAGGTTGCGGTGAGCCAAGATCGTGCCATTGCACTCCAGCCTGGGTAACAAGAGCAAAACTCCGTCTCAAAAAAAAAAAAAAAAAAAAAAAAAAAAAAAAAAAATCTCTATTGGATTTCAAAGTGCTGCATACATTTGGGTTATAATCTAGTTTTTACTTACTATATCTGCATTTTTAACCCACTGGACAGATTCAATGGTTGACACTTTCTATGCTATTGGATTTGTGATGCGACTTTGCCAATCCATTTCGCTCCTGGAATTGCTGCACATATATGTTGGCATCGAGTATAACCATCTTCTCCCAAGGTTTTTGCAGGTAGGTTTAAATCACATTATTATTACGATTATTATAGAATCTGTTTCATATTTACATTTTTTCTATTTACAGCTTCTCTTGACGTTGTGACAGTTAAAAATCCAACCCTTGTCTTAGGTCACTGAGAAGGAGAAGTAAGTTCATGGAAGGACAGCCTTATCCTAAAACTGCATGATTAGAATAACCAGTTGGAAACATTCAGGGCAGTGAGGCTTGCTGATCATGCCGCACTGCGTTGATCCTCTCCTGGAAGGAGCTTTCATAGCCACTTCCCACCTTTACTATGTCACTGCCTGGGGTAGTAGGAGACAATGATAAGGCTTAGGACTGGAGACTTGGGTTTGAGGCCGGACTTTGCTGCTTACCGCTATGGGATCATATCATGCACAATCATTGGGCTGTTAACGGCTGGCAAAAAGTAGATGATTAAAAAACAAAGTTCCCTTCATCTCTGTCTAAGCAATAGAGTACTCCTAGGCCATTTCTTATTCATTCACCCTCTTTTACTAAACATCAATGGAAAGGGGAGATGATTTGTGTTTATCTAGTGTAGCATCTAAGCATAGACGTGAGGATCACACAGACCTGTGTTCAAATCCCAGTTCTACTTTGCACTAGTTGTATCCATTTAAACAAGTCATTTAATCATGCTGAACTTCATTTTCTCATGTGATATGAAAATAACATGTATCTTATTAAGTAACTGAGAAAATGGGTAAGTTCCTGGCATTTAGTTAAGAATACAATACTTGGTAGCTATTACTATTTTCTTTCTTTTTTTTTTTTTAATTGCATTTTAGGTTTTGGGCTATTACTATTTTCTTAGCTGTTTTTTGTTCCCTGTTCATGCCTCTAGCCCTAGATTATGACGTTCTTGTGAAAAGGCAGGTTGAAGGAAGATGCGAAATTTGCAAGTAGTGACTCCATGTAGAAAACTATTGCTGGATAAAGACACAAAATAAAAAGATTTTCTTTAGATTTTAAACTCATGTTCATATAGTTGTCCCTTTCTTATGGGACAGTAAAGGTTAGGCAACTATGTGAACATGAGTTTAAAATCTACAGAAATAGTTATCTACGTGAGTTATTATTTTAGGTATCTCCAAAATAAATTTGAAAAATGGTTAATTTTGACAATTTTATATTGTTAAAATAATTAAAGTAAGTCAGAATTGTATTGTGTTGCCAGCACCTAACAAAATGCTTACAATGTAAATGCACACTTTAAGTTTTTGTTAAATGAAAGAGTGGCATAGATCCTTATATTAAAATTTGTTTAAAATACCATGAAAGCCTAAAAGATATAAATAGTATAATGCTGAGGAACCTTTTTTTTTTTTTTTTTTTGAGAAGGAGTTTTGCTCTTTTTACCCAGGCTGGAGTGCAATGGTGCGATCTCGGCTCACTGCAACCTCCACCTCCTGGGTTCAGGCAATTCTCCTGCAGGCACACGCCACCATGCCCAGCTAATTTTTTGTATTTTTAGTAGAGATGGGGTTTCACCATGTTGACCGGGATGATCTCGATCTCTTGACCTCGTGATCCACCCGCCTCGGCCTCCCAAAGTGCTGGGATTACAGGCTTGAGCCACCGTGCCCAGCCAGGAACCTTTTAAGAATTGAGCATTACAATTATAAGGAATATTTTTAACCTATGGAATATTTTACTTACTAAAGAGTAGGGAAATAGTATCCATTAGGATGAAGACATTTAAAGTGTTGAAATACCAGATGTAAAATAAAAATTAGGATAATGGTGTACAAACTAATAACATAGTAGTCAGTTAACTGGCTAAGACCTAGATGGAATTCCCTTTAACATAGTTCCTTACAAAATAAAAGGGGATACAGATCTGTCCCAACAGCAACATATTATCTAGGAGCAAGATTTATTGGTGCTTATTACTTATTTACAATGTGTTGTACTTTGCAACAACCAAAATACATATAGTACCAGCATCCCACAATGCTAATCTTGGAAAAATAGAATTAACAACTGAGGTTAAATAAAAGTTGTATTCTAGCCGGGTGCGGTGGCTCAAGCCTGTAATCCCAGCACTTTGGGAGGCCGAGGCGGGTGGCTCACGAGGTCAAGAGATCGAGACCATCCTGGTCAACAAGGTGAAACCCCGTCTCTACTAAAAATACAAAAATTAGCTGGGCATGGTTGTGTGTGCCTGTAATCCCAGCTACTCAGGAGGCTGAGGCAGGAGAATTGCCTGAACCCAGGGGGCGGAGGTTGCGGTGAGCCGAGATCGCACCATTGCACTCCAGCCTGGGTAACAAGAGCGAAACTCCGTCTCAAAAAAAAAAAAAAAAAGTTGTATTCTGTCATCTGGAATGATACTGCCTGACGTATGATTAAATTCATCTAAAATCGAAGTTATGTTTTCTTTTGGTAGTTTCTTAAAAGGACTTTTTACTTTTTTAGGCTAAGTGGCTACTACTGGTTTTATGGTAAAACATTTTCATAATTAAGAGTAGTGTTATTTTAGTTATTACCAGTGTAGATAATGCACCTCGTGAGAATAGAGAATTTTGTAAGGAAGAAAACTCACTGAGCACCTTGAATGTGCCTAGAAAATGTCCACATATGTGCTTTACAAAATTAGGCTTGTTTAATAAATGAAATTATTGCATAACTTAGAAATCTTATTTCTTGGAGTTCCAGGAATTCCAGAATATACACCTGATTTTAATCACTGCTAATTAAAACTCTAATGGCTTATAGAAATATATAGCTGTAATCAAAGAACCAAATCTTGGTTTGGCAATTTAAAAACAGTGGCAAATATATATTGACACCTTTTATTCAAAGATGAGTTTGCAAAGTCTAACGTTAGCAGAGTGCAGATGATTTTGAAGTCTTCAGTCATTGGGAGACGTAAGTTAGGGATTACTATGTTAGGGAGAAAAATTACTCTCTTCCTGAGCTGATTATTGCCCATCTTTGTGGTGGTGGTTTGGCTTCCTCTTTTTATCTCCTTTGAGATTTTATTTGGCCTCTGTTTCTTTAATTCATCTGTCGTCCTTTTCCTGTTTCCCTCAATGGAAATGGTGTTTGAGAATGGCTCAGAAACATGCCATTGTGCCCAGAGTTTCGTTTTCTCCCTCCTTCCTTTATTAGAGTCATGCAGACAATTAGAATCCCCTCATTATGGGATGGTACTGAGGCCCCTGCTTTAAAATAAGAAACAAAACTCTCAGGTTGTGTAATCATTCTTGGTTTTCCTGTTTCCCCATTTTTAAATGAAGAAACTGTAGTTACGAGTGGCTGCTTTTAAGAAAGCTGAAAAACCGTGTCCATACAGTTGTGATGGTGACTTCAAGAGATTGTTAAGTGACAACTGAATTCTTTTCGTGGGGAGCTGGTCCTCCAAAATATCTAGAGAAATGATTCCAACCAACAGTAGGAACTCATTAGCTAGTTGAGCAATTAGTATTACACATATCAAGTAGTGGTGGTGTGTCCACAGGGGATAAGTTTGTTTTCTTGTGCTGTGTTTGTGTTTCTTGTGCTTTTGCTTCCTGTGCATTTTTAAATGTTTTACACGCACATCTTTATTTTGACACCTAGGGAAAAACTGTAATGAATTTCCAAAATTACACACGAAAGGAGAAAAACCCATTGACTAGAGACAATAATCATTTAACTGACATATATTTTACTATGTATACACTTGGGGAAAAGGGCAAAACCATAACATAGATATTTATAGACTTCCAATTTTTGAAATAATTGCACATCAGTAAAGATCACATAAGAGGCCGGGCGCGGTGGCTCACACCTGTAATCCCAGCACTTTGGGAGGCCGAGGCAGGTAGATCACAAGGTCAAGAGATCAAGACCATCCTGGTCAACATGGTGAAACCCCGTCTCTACTAAAAATACAAAACATTAGCTGGGCATGGTGGCACGTGCCTGTAATCCCAGCTACTCAGGAGGCTGAGGCAGGAGAATTGCCTGAACCCAGGAGGTGGAGGTTGCGGTGAGCCGAGATCGTGCCATTGCACTCCAGCCTGGGTAACAAGAGCGAAACTCCGTCTCAAAAAAAAAAAAAAAATCACATAAGAAAATATAGTAAACTTTGATACTTTTACTTTTTAAAATGGAAAAGTAAAAATGGTCCAAAAGAAGCATAAAAGAAAAAATTACATAAATGAAAACTAGGCATCTCTCTTCTCCAACCTGTCCTCCCAAATGAGCTTACATACTTTTTTTAGCTTAGAAAAAAATGTTGAATTGGAAAACTAGTTGATTTCAATAAATTTAATCAAAACAAGTTGACTTTAATAGTACAGAAATACTATCTACCGTGAAATGTTGATTTTGAGAGCCTTTATTCAGTTTGCTTTTACAGAAGCCTGAGAAGGAGATTTTACTGATATACCTTTAGGATGTTTCAACTCAAGAAGAGTGGAAAATAGCCAACACTACCCATTGATTCATAACATGAAACTGATATCCCCTATAGGAAACCCTTAATATCTGCTCTATCACCTTTTGAGAAATGATTTCAATGCAAATACTTCATTTATAACTGAATTAAAATGATTCAAATACACATCCTTCCCTCTGCATCATAATAAACACTTCTGCACATAGTAATTTTACACATTTTTACTTAATTTTTTAAGTTTCTCAACCAAAACACTAAAAACTATTCCCAAATTATTGTGCTTACAAGGATTCCATTTATGAGCCCAAATCACATAAACCATTTCTGTATTTACCAGTAACACTTCTGATCAGGGCAAGGAGTTATCTGTCAAAAATCCCTCTAAAGATTTCACAGTCACAACTCTTAAGAGAACAAATATGAAGGAATTCCCAAAGGAAAGTATCTTATCTTGTAGGGAAAAAAAAAAAGCCAGATTTTACCCTAATTTCTTTTTAGCTATGAAGCAGGTGCTTATTTGCATTGCTAGACCAAATAATCTTCTGACTTTCCATAAAATCATAGATTTTTCTCGCCAGTTTTGAGCTGGGAATAGGCTTATATTGTTAGAGAAGAAACTACCAAAGAGATTGTTGATCTGTAACATTCTCCACATTTTGAAGCCTCCTGAGAGGCTGTGCCCAATTCATTCTGTAGGTAAGATTTTAGATTTTTCTTTTGTTTTTAACACTTGATCTATACAGTTCTTCAGTGTGATAAGTATAAAGCTATATTCTTAGTGTAATTTTACAGATGCTGAGATTGAATTTTTTTAATTCACTGAAAGTCATTATTTACATAGAAAGTTTTCCTGTAAATACATTGTAAATCACTACATTAAAGTATATTTCAGTATTTATTCTCCTAATCATAGCTTACATTAGGCTTTTATGTGCATCAAACACTTTTCTAAGTTCTTTACATGTATTATTTAATCTTTACAACAACCTTATCCTGTATATGATAATGACTATGTAACAATAGATGCTAATTATTATCTATAGTATAATTACTTAACCCAGAAGTAAATTATGCAAGTCCACATAGGTTTTGAATATTACAGCAGAAATTTAAGCTATTTGACTCCTGAGCTCTCAACTATTACGCTACATTTGTTTACTGTTTGACCAAGTATATTTTAAATATGAAAGCAGGGGCTTGGTCTTGTTCACAGCTGTATCCCCTGGGACCCAGAACAGTGCCCTCAATTATCTATTGAATGATGAATAAATAAATACAGTTATTTAAATGCTTTTGTCTTACAGAAGAATATAAGTGACAGTTGTTGAATATATAAAGATATATATCTGAAGTTCTCAGAAAAGTTCAGGGGATTGAGAGTTTAGATTTTCATTTTAGTAAAATAGTAGTATTTGACTCTAAAACTAATTTTAAGATTCTAGAAATTTTCCCTATAGTTGAAGTATCATTTTACCCTCCCATAGCTTATAAATCAAGTGCTACCTGCCATTGGTAAAGTAACAACTTAGTTTCAATTATTGCTTAACCTGCAGTTTAGGATTCCCAAATAGAACATAAAAATGCCAAGGATTTTTATCATATAGTTATTACACTTTTGAGTAGACCACATTATCACCATCTTTAACCAAAGTTGTAGGATATTTACTGTACCTTTTATTCTACCTGCTTCAGTTGTACTAAACATTATAAAACCATTCACTAGTAATTAGTCATATTTTCATAGGATTTGTTAAAAATGACAAAGGGCTAAGTTCTTCCAAGTGTCGAGCTCTAAATAACTGGTCAAATGGTCATGTTAAGGAAAACATACATTTTAAAAGCCTTTTCTTCGAAATTATTTTGCTGCTAGGAAAATCAAGGGGGCTCTTGTTTTACGGCTTGATTTTTAAGGAGCAACTTTTTTAAAGAATAGGCTGTAACCTGGATACTGGGCAATGGAGTAATTCATACCAAGTAACAACGGGGAAAGAGTCTTAGTATTTCAGGAATTTGAAGTCTTATTGTCTAGGTGTTGATTCCAGACTTGTAGGTAAGTCACTTTCATTTGGTAAAATGCATGTCTTTTGTAAAACACATATAATAAGAACACCTACTTCTTAGGTCATTATGGACATAACATGAGATGGTGTATAGTTGGAACCTGGCCCAAAGTAAACAACACTAGCTTTTATCAATTGAAGAACATCTCTGTCTAAATTGCCCCATTGTATTGCCACTGGATGGTCAAATTAGAGTTGAATGGCCATCAGATGATCTGTTATCTAGTTAGATTGACACTGAATATAGAGGGAGTCTTCACGTGTGTGTATGTGTGTTGTGGTTTGGTTTTGGGGACCATGCTGTTGCTGCTTTCTGTGCAGCTGGGATTCCATCTCTACCCTGGCACAGACAGTGAAGTGATGATTTCCAACAGGGTGAATTTCATCATGCAGTTCTAGTCTCTCCCTTTTAGGATATTTTTCCCTCTGTCCTCTTCAATTAAGGGGTTGCCTGACATCATGGATAGCTTACAACTCTGGAAACCAGGAGACACCGGATATATATGTGTTTCCAGTTCTGTTCCCAAATTCCTTATTTGTAAAAATGTGGGGCTGGGCTAGTATCAGAATGTTTTATCTAGAGGGGACCCTATAGCTATCTTACTGACAGGTGTCTTAGTTTTTCAGTAGTCAGCCATGTAATTAGAAATCTGTATTTTATTCATGCATCTGTTAATGTATGTGTATCTCCTGAGATTTCTAGCGAAACTAGAAAGTTTTCCTAATTAGCAAGCACCGATCAAATGTAAGATTAGGTGGAGCCTAAGAACTTGTTTGCTGCAAAGGTCTTATATCAGAAGGCTGAGAGGTGTCATGACATCAAGACTGGATCATTGAGTAAGTATAAATCCAGTTCAGTAGAATTTATTGCAGAAATTAAATCAATAGCATATTATACTGTAAAGAAAGCAAAAAGAAAAACAGCTATGTAGATAGCTTCCATAGATTGACTAATGTTTGAATCATATCTAATTTCCCTTAGCCAAGCATAGACCCTCTTGACTCACCACTGTAGTCATGTCATAAACATGCTGATAAAGCTTATACATGTGGATTTCTGATCATGTGGCCCACTGTTGGCAAATCTTGGATTTCTGTGCACTAGGTGATTTTCCAGGACTAACAGCCTGTGAATTCTAAGTCACAAGTTATCCCAGTCGTTTCTCCTTGATCCACTTTAAAAACAAAGAAAAATATAAATTATTCCCCGTTTCTTTTTACTGCTAACATGATCCTTCGATCTTAAGTGTATTTTCCTTTGAGCATTAAGAGCAAGTAAAACTTTGTATTAAAAAACACACAAAATACAGAATGTACAGGATATATTAATATATCATAAGGCACTTTAGGTTGGGAAAAAGGAATGTATTTTTTTATTTTTTTGAGGCTAGTCATTGGAGCTAAGCCAAAAATGTGTGAAGTCTCAATGACTTGTAAATGCTTACTGACTTGGAATATATATTCCAGGAATATGTTGAATTCCTTTCATTTTCCACTAGTTTATAAGGGTTAGGATTAAATGACTCCTCTACCAAAAAAGGAAAAAAATAAAGACAAAGAAAACACTACAGTAGCTTTTCTGTTGGATGGAATTGAAATTTCTCAGCCTGTCATTGAAAACCCTTCACAATCCAGCTCCAAATGCTTTTCAATTTCTTCTTATTCCCTGCTGTGCACCCACCCCTCCAGCCCCCCAGTGGCTCACACTACTCCCTGGGGCACCCTACATTTCTGCACCTCTCCCTCTTTGCTCAGGCTGCTCCTTTTGCCTGGGATGCCCTCTCTTCTTGTATCCAGTCTACCTGACAAACTCCTATCCATTTTTCAAGATCCAACCTAGATGAAGCAAAATGTTAACTGTCGTCATAAGTCCCTTTGCGTTCTTTCTCCAGGCAGAAAGTGTCTCCCTCACCTGTACCTCCATACCTGGTGCACACTGTGCTGGCTATTGTTCAATTCTCCCACTACTGCTACCCTCTCTGGAGCAAAGACTGTTTTCATTTTGGCATCTGACACACAGTAGATGCTCAATAAAGCCTTGTCAAAGTGAATGGAAACACATGCATGTGGCAAGAAGGAAGAAAAAAACCCTGATTCACATCAAATATATGTCAATTTTTCATTCATTATAAATACAGGCAAATGAATGAGGAATTGAAATTCAGCCATAAACCCTACTCACTCAGAGGGAGGCATTGTTAACAGTTTAGTATACGTATTTCCAGCTAAAGTCTACTTTTGAAAGGAGATCTGGTTTTTAAAATTAGGGGAGGAATAGCAGTGGGTGGGGGGATTGGGGAGGGATAGCATTAGGAGAAATACCTAATGGAGATGACAGGCCATGGGTGCAGTAAACCACCGTGGCACGTGTATACCTGTGTACCAAACCTGCATGATCTGCACATGACCCTAGAACTTAAATAAAATCACCTACATAGCCTAACAGTTGATCCTAATTTTTGACTTTGCTGTTTCTTTGTTAGCTCACAGAGAGAATAATCATCCTTTTTGTGGTGATCACCAGTCAAGAGGAAGTCCAAGGGAAATACGTGGTGTGTGTTTTATTCATCTTTTGGAATCTATTGGATATGGTTAGGTAAGAAGGCAAAATCTCTTTTTAAAAAAAGTCCAAAGTACTTTCTACAGTGAAATCGGTACTAGCTGCTTACATTGGGTTACTCTGTACGAGAGGGGAAAACATATTCCCCTTTTCAAATTATTTTATGTTGATACGGAAATGTGTTTTTAGTGCTCTCCACAATAGGCATATCAAAGATAATGAAAACCTACCATGGTATTACTAGAGTAAAGCAGCACATTCAGGTTTCTGCAGAAGGCTTGGCATAAAACCAAGTTGGGATAACCGTCAGCTGTTTCCTAACGGGAGGCATTCCTCACAGTTACTTCAGTACAGTTGCTTTAGTAAGCAAAGCAGGTCTTCTGTTAGATCGTCAGAATTTAGAGTAAGTTCCTGTGCATTCAAGAATCTTTTAAATAATGGGGCCTCTCTGGAAGAAAATGCACTCCCACATCCATTTACCATTCCAATGGGTTCAAACGACTAACTTAGTTCTTTTTTTTTTTTTTTTTCTGGAGACGGAGTTTCGCTCTTGTTACCCAGGCTGGAGTGTGCAATGGCGCGATCTTGGCTCACCGCAACCTCCGCCCCCTGGGTTCAGGCAATTCTCCTGCCTCAGCCTCCTGAGTAGCTGGGATTACAGGCACGCGCCACCATGCCCAGCTAATTTTTTGTATTTTTAGTAGAGACGGGGTTTCACCATGTTGACCAGGATGGTCTCGGTCTCTTGCCCTCGTGATCCACCCGCCTCGGCCTCCCAAAGTGCTGGGATTACAGGCTTGAGCCACCGCGCCCGGCCAACTTAGTTCTTTTATGGAAGCACTGAGAAGCCTTGTTCCAGTCTTCAGTGCCCTGCTAATTCTAAAACTTTGCAGTGAGATGAACCTAGTCTTATCTCTACAAGTGATGGTGTAAAACAGTCCCCTTTGCTCAGTGAGTCCTTATACCTAACTCTGGGAAGGTGTCCTAATTGCTAGGTCAGCTTTCACAAATGAGAACTGTCCCTTCCACTTGAGAGATTTGGATTTGAATAGGTAACAAAAGAGCCTTAGTTTGTTTTTTAGCCAAAGCTTTGTAAATTTTTTATTATATTGTCAATAACTGGATTAAAATATGTCTAAATAATTAAGTCCTAGAGTGGATTAGAATAAAATATTTTGTAGAAGTAAAATGAATTTAATTATGTATATAAATTAGTGATTTCTCATTTTTGAAATGATAGTTTAGTGGACTTGGGGCAAACTTCATGGACTTTCATAGCCCTTCTATTCATGAGACAATGGAACATCATTTGGGATTGAAGCTTTCTAGTATGTTGCTCTTGAGTATGCTAACTCTGTCAGTCTCAGAAGCCCAGTAAAAACATTGAAGAACAAAACAATGTTTGCACTGAAAGAAGTAGCATGCTGTCATAAGAAGACTTTTGGATGGAAAGGTAGCTCTCCCTGGATGAACCCACCTCTACTACTTACTTGCTAAGTGATGTTAGGCAAATCACTTAACCTTTCGTATTTTAATAACAGCTTTATTGAGATATAATTTATATACTATGAAATTCACCCTTTTAAAATACAAAATTTGTGGGTTTTAGTAGATCCAAAAAGATGTGCAGTCATCCCTATGCTCTAAGAACATTTTGATCACTCCTAAAAGAAACCTTATCCCCAGTAGCAGTCACTCCCCACTCCCTCCTCCCCCGCCGGCCGCTGGAAACCACTTACAACATGCTGTCTCTATGGATTGCCTATCCTGGAAATTTCATATAAATGGAATCATCCACTATGTGGCCTTTTGTGCCAGGCTTCTTTTACTAAGCATAATGTTTTCAAGGTTCCTCTGTGTTGTGTCATGTGTCAGTACTTGATTGCTTTTTGGGCTTAGTAAAATTCACTTGTACTGATTTACTATTATCTGTGTATCCACATATCAGTTGATGGACGTTTGGGTGGTTTCCACTGTTTGGCCATGAGGAATACTGCCACGAACATCCACATACAAGTTTTTGTGTGCACGTTTTCCTTTCCCTTATACCTAGGAGTGAAATTCCAAGGCACCTAACTTTTAAAAACTTTTTTTTTTCCTCTGTAAAATGGGGGTTGACTTGTCTTCCCACCCTACCCTAGAATTATTTTTCCTAAAGTAATGAGCAAGAAACTTCCTCAGCCTGATAAAAGCATCTGTGAAAAATCCATACTAACATAATAGTTAATGGTGAAAGACGAATGCCTTCCTCCTAATACCCAAGAACAAGACATGGGCATCCACTCTTGCCACTTACATTCAACATTGTACTGGAAGTTTTATCCATGGCAATAAGGCTGAACAGAAAATGAAATGGCATAAAAGGCATCTAGGCTGGAAAGCAACAAGTAAAACTATTGGCAGATGATATAAAAAATTAGACCAGTATATAAAAATGAATGATATTTTCATAAGTTTATAATTACCCTAAAATGAACTCAAGAACACAATTCTGTTTATAGTAGCATCAAAAAGAATAAAGTGCTGAGGAATAAATTTAACAAAAGATGCACAGAATTTATACACTGAAAATGATAAAGCATTGTTGAAAAAAATGAAATATCTAAATAAATGAAAGGACATCCCGCATGGCTTGAAGACTTAATATTGTTCAGATGGCAGTATTCCCTAAATTAATCTGTGGATTCAGTGAAATCCCTATTAGAACCCAGATGACTAATTGCAGATAATGAGAAGCTGATTCTAAAACTAATTTTCAAACTCAGAATAGCCAAAACAATTTTAGAAGAATATAGTTGAATGACTCATTCTTCCCCATTTCAAAACTTACTACAAAGCAATGATTAAGTGTGGTACTGGCATAAGGATAAATCATGGAATAAAATTGATAGTCTAAATATAAACTCTCACATTTTTGATAAATTAACTTTTGACAAGACTGCCAAGACCATTCAATGGGGAAATGGGTTTTTTTGAGAAATGGTGGTAGGACCAACTGGGTATTTACATGCAAAAGAATGAAGTTAACACTCACATGCAAGTGGTAAAACCATGAAACTCTTTGAAAAAAATAAAGGAGTAAATCTTGATGACTGGATTTGGCAGTGGATTATAAGATAAGACACCAGAAACACAACAAAGGAAAAAAAAAGATAAATTGGACTTCATCAAAGTGGCTTTTTTTTTTTTTTTTTTTTTTTTTTTTTTTTTTTTTTTGAGATGGAGTCTCGCTCTCTCATTCAGTCTAGAGGGGTGTGATCTCAGCTCACAGCAACCTCTGCCTCTTGGGTTCAATTGATTCTCTTGCCTCAGCCTCCTGAGTAGCTGGGATTACAGGCGGCCGCCACCATACTCGGTTAATTTTTGTATTTTTAGTAGAGACAGGGTTTCGCCATGTTTCCCAGGCTGGTCTGGAACCCCTGACCTTGGGTGATCTGCCTGCCTCAGCCTCCCAAAGTGTTGGGATTACATACCTCAGCCACTGCACTCAACCAAAAGTGGCTTTTAAACATGAAAAGATGTTTACCTGCTTTTCTAATATGAGGGGGAAAAGATGAGATACCATTTTCATCTTGATTGGTGAAGATCAAAAAACAAGTATGCTGTGTTTAATGAGGTCCTGCACTGCTGGTATGTGTTCTTTGTAGTAAATATGAATATAGATATGCAAATGCAAAAATGTTTCTGAAAGAATACCTAAAAAACTGACATTGGCCATTGTCTCTGAGGGGTGGAATTCAGATCCTGGGTTGAGAGAAATTTACTCTTCCCCATTCATGTTTTCAACGTGTTCTGGGTGGTTTTGCCATATGTATTTATTGTCTGTCTATATCAGTAGTTCTCAAAGTGTGGTCCCTGGACCAGTGGCATCAGTATCACCTGGAACTTGTTAATACAAAGTCTGCTGTACCACAGATCCATTGGTTCAGAAACTTTAGGACTAGGGCCCAGTAATTTGTGTTTTAACATTTTAACATGCCATCTAGGTGATTCTGATGTATGCTCAAGCCTAAAAACCAGTGTCTTATGCAAAGAAATAAAACACCATGTAGACTAATCTATTATATCACAATGGTGGGCTTAAAGGTCCCTACTATACCCAAGTTAGTTCCCAAGTGCAGTTGTTTAATTGATCACATAGATATACAACTGCAGAAGCAGAAGGATGCCACCTAAAGATTTGGAAGTCACATTTTGTTTTTTAATTCTGAGATATTTACAAGTATGTCTGTCTTTAAAAAACCTAGCTGCTTGCTGCATAAAATGGGCTTGGCTTTTTAATGAAATTGAAGTCACTAATCAAGGAAATTTGTATTTTCTAAGGAGGGACTAAGAGTTATTTGCTCTGTTTAGCTTTATAATTATTCATGATTTACCGCATGAGACAAGCCAGATTGACATGGTCCCTTTCCCCCTGATTTAAAAAACAAAACAAAAAACTTTTCTCTTGCTTAAATTATAGGAAATAAAATACATAATTTGCACACTTTCCAGTTATATCTCTGTTTTTAATTACATAGTAGTTTCTCCTGTTTGTCAGATACTAGCAGAAAATTATGTTTATGAGCTTCTCATCTCCTTTCAGGTACACTTACAGCATGTTATCAGTCATAGGAATATCCTATGCTGTCTTGACATGGTTGAGTCAAACACTATGGATGCCAATTTATCCTTTATGTGTTCTCGCTGAAGGTAAGAAAAGAGTGACTTGCTGTATTACTGACAAAACCATCTAGGTATAATGGTTCACTAAGTTTTTTGATGAATAAATGAGTATTTTTGCAAATGCTTAGCTCACTTAGTGTATCTTTCCTGGTACATTTCCCTTGATGCAAAGACACAAAGTTGAACAGCTCTGCACAGTAGACAAAATATTGGACAAAAAGCAATGGCATCTGAGTCCTTCATTAATTCACTGTACGAGTTTTGAGTAACTCATTTAACCTCTCAGAGTCTGCTTGCTCACCAAAAAGAGGTTAATATTTAGAGAGTCTATGATTTCTAACTTGTAATGCACAGAAATTGAGTTCCCACTTACCATTTACCATATATCCTGCCCTCTCTCAGCAACTAGTTAACTCTACCTTGAGATTAATCATCATTTTCTGAGGGAGGCAGGCATTCCCTGACTTCCTCAACTGAGTTCCCCCACCTACAGCATCATGAATCTTTTATAGCAGGGGCCCCAAACCCGGGCTATGACTCCTGTCTGCAGCCTGTTAAGAGCCAGGCTGCACAGCAGGAGGTGAGTGGTGGGCTAGCGGGTGAAGAATCATCTGTGTTTATGGCCACTCACCATCGCTCACATTATCACCTTAGCTCTATCTCCTGTCAGATCAGTGGAGGCATCAGATTCTCATAGGAGCAAGAACCCTGTGGCGAACTGCACACGTGAGGGATCTAGGTTGCATGCTCCTTAAGAGAATCTAATGCCTGATGATCTGTCATTGTCTCCCATCACCCCCAGATGAGAACATCTAGTTGCAGGAAAATAAGCTCAGGGCTCCCACTGATTGTACATTATGGTGAGTTGTATAATTATTTCATTATATATTACAATGTAATAATAATACAAATAAAGTACACAATAAACATCATGTACTTGAACCATCCCAAAACCATTCTGCTTCCCCTGGTCTGTGGAAAAATTGTTTTCCACAAAACCAGCACCTGGTGTCTAAAGGTTGGGGACTGCTATCTTATGGGGCTTATCTCAGCATAATTACACATTTGTATGATTATTTGATTAATGTCCATTTCCTTGACTAGACTGTAAGCTCTGCAGGGATACGAGGATGTCTTTGTTTCTTTGCTTCTGTCCTTACGCATCAGTACACATGCTCAACACAGAATGAATTGTTGAATACAATATGAAATAGGCTAATTATATAGCCTAAAACTGAAGATCAGATCATTCAGATAATCAGTTTGCAGAGTTTGAGGATATTTGTAGAACAGATGATTTCTTCTGTAGTGGATTTGGTAGACTGGTAAGGAGCATTCTGTAACACATGATTAGAGTTGAAAATTGAAGGCATAAAATAAGCATGTTAAGCTAACTAAGGGAAAAACATAAGGACGTAGATTTAAGATAAAATGACATAGACAATAATCATAAAGTATATAAAAGCCAGTTAAAAAATAAAAACATTTATCTTCTCTCTACTGATGAGCAGAGAAAAAGAGCTTAAGTTACTGTAAATCATGTTAGATAGAATTTTAAACCTTTTTTTTTGTTTCAAAAGGAAGAATTACTAATTTTGGAATAGACTACAAGTGGATTTAGAGAATAATTGTCTTGAAAACCATAAAAATGAACCTGATTGTCCATTCTTTAAGAATGAAATCACCTCTCATTGTAATATCAAGTACATATCTTTGTTATATCATAGCACTGTAGAGAGTATATAAAGGAAATGGGGAGATGTTGGTCAAAGAGTACAATGTTTGTTAGGAGGAATACATTTTTGAGATCTACTGCCCAGCAGGGTCACTGTACTTAATAATGTATATTTCAAAATAGCTGAGAGTAACTTTCAAATGTCTCATCCCCCAAAAAATAAGTGAGATGATGGATACGTTAATTAGCTTGATTTAATCATTCCGCATTGTACACACATATCAAGACATCACTTTATGTTTTATATATGTATACAATTATGATTTGCTAATTAATCAAATTTAAAAGAATATATATGGAAATAAGGTAGAAATAAGACTAGTCCCTTCCTAAGAATAAGGAGTGGATAAATGTAGAGGAAACTTTTGCATTCTTGTTATTCCATAGTTCTTTTTTTTTTTTTTTTCCTTTTTTTTTTTTTTTTGAGACAGAGTTTCGCTCTTGTTACCCAGGCTGGAGTGCAATGGCACGATCTCGGCTCACCGCAACCTCCACCTCCTGGGTTCAGGCAATTCTCCTGCCTCAGCCTCCTGAGTAGCTGGGATTACAGGCACGCGCCACCATGCCCAGCTAATTTTTTTGTATTTTTTTAGTAGAGACGGGGTTTCACTATGTTGACCGGGATGGTCTCGATCTCTTGACCTCGTGATCCACCTGCCTCGGCCTCCCAAAGTGCTGGGATTACAGGCTTGAGCCACCGCGCCCGGCCTCCTTTTTTTTTTTTTTTTTTAATTGTATTTGGGCTCTGGGGTACATGTCACATCCTGCAGGATTGTTGCATAGGTACATATATGACATGGTGGTTTGTTGTCTCCATCCCTCCCCCCGACCCGTCACCTACATCAGGCATTTCTCCCGGTGATATCCCTCCCCATCCTCCCTGCCCCCACTGTTGTCCCTCTCCCCTCCCATATACCCCCCCACATAGCCCAGTGAGTGTTGTTCCCTTCCCTGTGCGCAAGTGTTCTCATTGTTCATCACCCACCTATGACTGAAAACATGCAGTGTTTGGTTTTCTGTTCTTGTCCGTTTGCTGAGAATGATGGTTTCTAGATTCATCCATGTCTCTGCAAAGGTTAGGAACTCATCGTTTTTTATGGCTGCACAGTATTCCATGGTGTATATGTGTCATATTTTATTTGTCCAGTCTGTCTTTGATGGGCATTTGGGTTGGTTCCAGGTCTTTGCTATTGTCAACAGTGCTGCAACAAACATACATGTGCATGGATCTTTATAATAAAACAATTTATAATTCTTTGGGTATATACCCAGTAATGGGATTGCTGGGTCAAATGGAATTTCTATTTCTAGATCCTTGAGGAATCACCACATTGCCTTCCATAATGGCTGAACTAATTTAAACTCCCACAAACAGTGTAAAAGTGTTCCTTTTTCTTCACATCCTATCCAGCATCTGTTGTCTCCAGATTTTTTTTTTTTTTTTTTTTTTTCAGACGGAGTTTCCCTCTTGTTACCCAGGCTGGAGTGCAATGGCGCGATCTCGGCTCACCGCAACCTCCGCCTCCTGGGTTCAGGCAATTCTCCTGCCTCAGCCTCCTGAGTAGCTGGGATTCCAGGCACGTGCCACCATGCCCAGCTAATTTTTTGTATTGTTAGTAGAGACGAGGTTTCACCATGTTGACCAGGATGGTCTCGATCTCTTGACCTCGTGATCCACCTGCCTCGGCCTCTCAAAGTGCTGGGATTACAGGCATGAGCCACTGCACCCGGCATCTCCAGATTTTTTAATGATCACCATCTAACTGGCATGAGATGGTATCTCAATGTGGTTTTGATTTGCATTTCTCTAATGATGAATGACGATTAGCTTTTTTCATATGTTTCTTGGCCACATAAATGTCTTCTTTTGAAAGCATCTGCTCGTAAACTTTGACCATTTTGGAAGGGGCTCGTTCGTTTTTTTCTTGTAAATCTGTTTTACTTCTTTGTAGATTCTGGATATTAGTCCTTTGTCAGATGGGTAGATTGCAAAAATTTCTTCCCATTCTGTTGGTTGCCGGTTCACTCTAATGATAGTTTCTTTTGCTGTGCAGAAGCTCTTAAGTTTAATTAGGTCCCATCTGTCTATTTCAGCTTTTGTTGCCATTGTTTTTGGTGTTTTAGTCATTTAGTCTTTGCCTGTGCCTGTGTCCTGAATGGTGTTGCCTAGGTTTTCTTCTAGGGTTTTTATGGTGTTACTTATGATTAAATCTTTAATCCATGTGGAGTTAATTTTTGTATAAGGTATTAAAAAAGGAGTCCAGTTTCAGCTTCCTGCATATGGCTAGCCAGTTTTCCCAACACCATTTATTAAACAGGGAATCCTTTCCCCATTGATTGTTTTTGTCAGGTTTGTCAAAGATCAGATGGTTGTAGATGTGTGGTGTTGCTTCTGAGGACTCTGTTCTGTTCCATTGGTCTATATCTCTGTTTTGGTACCAGGACCATGCTGTTTTGATTACTATAGGCTTGTAGTATAGTTTGAAGTCAGGTATTGTGATGCCTCCAGCTTTGTTCTTTTTGCTTAGGATTGTCTTGGCTATGCGGGCTCTCTTTTGGTTCCATACGAAGTTTAAGTTGTTTTTTTTCCAGTTATGTGAAGAGGGTCATAGGTAGCTTGATGGGGATTGTGTTGAATCTGTAAATTACTTTGGGAAGTATGGCCATTTTCACACTATTGATTCTTCCTAACCATGAGCATGGAATTTTTTTTCCATCTTTTTGTGTCCTGTCTTATTTCCTTGATCAGTGGTTTGTAGTTCTTGGAAACATCTTTTACATCCTTTGTTAGTTGTATTCCTAGGTATTTTATTCTCTTTGTAGCATTTGTCAATGGGAGTTTGCTCATGATTTGGCTGGCTGTCTATTGTTGGTGTATAGGAATGCTTGTGATTTCTGCACATTGATTTTGTATCCTGAGACTTTGTGGAAGTTGCTTATCAGCTTAAGGAGGTTTTGGGCTGAGATGATGGGGATACAATCATGTTGTCTGCAAATAGGGACAATTTGACTTGTTCTTTTCCTAACTGAATGACCTTTCTTTCTTTTTCTTGCCTGATTGCTCTGGCTAGAACTTACAATACGGTATTGAATAGGAGTGGTAAGAGAGGGCATACTTGTCTAGTGCCAGTTTTTAAAGGGAATACTTCTAGTTTTTGCCCATTCAGTATAATATTGGCTGTGGGTTTGCCATAAATAGCTTTTATTATTTTGAGACACATTCCATCAATACCTAGTTTATTGAGAGTTTTAGCACAAAGGGCTGAATTTTGTTGAAGGCCTTCTCTGTATC